ATGGATATAATCCTGTCACTCACAATGTTGTACTTCAAGATGGATCTAGAAATTACTTTTGTTACTAGGAAGGAATAGCTTGGTTATTTACCTGCTGTTGAAAAGTCTAGTAGCAAGTGAACTCCAAAGTCCAATAGGAAGGAGAAATGAAATGAATCTGTGTTGGGGATTTTTTTTTGTTTGTTTGTTTTGGCTTGGGTTTAAAAAAAAAATCTGTGTTAAACATTCAAAAGTGTCTACTGTTGAGGCACCAACCCAGTGGCTCACAAAAACTTTCTGCTTATAAATCAAAACCTTTCTGTTTATAAATCACTGGAAGTTTTTTGTTGTTTTTGATGTTTTGTGCCATTGAGTAAACTACTATTCATAGTGACCCTATGCATAATAGCTCTGAACTCTGCTGTATCCTGAACCAATCTCACTGCCTCTTACACATCTTCCCTCATTGCCCTAGTTACTCTGTGTCAGTCCATCTTATCTGAATTGCACTAGGAAAATTTGTCAGGGACCACTTCAAGGCGTTGAAGAGCAACAGTGTCAGTCTAAAGACTAAGGTACACCTTAGATCCAAGCCATGGCCTTTGCAATTACTTGCTATTCATCAGAGAGCTGGACAGTGAACAAAGATAAGTAGTTTTGATGACTTTACTCTATGTGTCATTCGTATACATTGTATTTCATACATTTATTTAAATTTTATTTTACATTGTTTTTAATTGGTTTGCTTAGGAAGTTTATATACATTGTGTTTCATACTATTCTTCAGTCACATTGTGTTTCTTACAATTTATTCTTCATTCACATTGTGTTTCATACAATCATTCTCATGCATTATGTTTTATAAAATAAATCACCTTTGGACCTTGCCCATCATTAACCCTGTCTTTTCACATGGATCCTTCCCCTTTCCTTGCCCCCTCCCTCTACGCACCAAACTGTGCAACCCTGTGGTTTCACCTCTCGCCCTCTCTTGAGTTCCTGTACATGTTTTACTAGTTATCTTTCTATTTTTACAAAAATAGTCTTATGCTGTTATTTGTCCTTATGAGACTGTGTTATTTTACTAACATAATGCTCTCCAGCCTCTCCCAGGTAACGTATTATTTTTCAAAATCATGAGTGCTCCTGAGTGCTGCATAGTGTTTTATTGTGTCACTATACCACAGTTTCTCAGTCCATTCACTTGTGGTTGGACATCTTGGCTGTTCAATGTTCTTGGGATAATGAATAATGCTGTTATAAATCTCCATTTGTCTCAGTTCTCATTTTCTTGGGTTATATTCCAAACAGTGGATTAGCTGGGTCATAGGGAATTTCTGTGTTCAACTTTTTGAGGAAATGCCAAACTGCCTTCCAGAGTGGTTGTACCATTTTACAATTCCACCCACAAGTGTACGAGAGTTCCTACATCTCCACATCCTCTCCAGCATTTATTACTTGCTGTCCTGCTAAATTTTGCCACTGTTAACTGGGGTGAGATGGTATCTCATTGTGGTTTTGACTTGCATCTCTCCTATTTAGTGACTTTGAGCATTTCTTCATGTGTCTGTGGGCAACCTGAATGTCTCTTCCTCTGTGAAAAGTCTTTCCACGTCTTTTGCGCATTTTCTATTTGGGTTATCAGGTTTTTTCTTGTGGAGGCCCAGGAGTATTTAGTAAACTTTTGTATGAAATCCTTGTCTGAGATGGTATAGCCAAGTGTTTGTTCCCAGTTGGTAGGCTTTCTTTTCATCCTGTTGGAAAAAGTGTTTGATGAGCACAGAGATTTAATCTTTAGATGGTCCCACTCACGATTTTATCCTCTCCAGATAGTGCATTTCTGACTGCATTTTATCATAGGCTAAGCCTTATAACGTTGGCCCCAGTTTGTCTCTTTTGAACCTTATGGTTTTGAGCTTTACTCCCTGGTCTCTGATCCACCTTGAGTTGATTTTTGTGTATGGTGTGAGTGGAATTTGCCATTTTGAACATGCACTTAATTTCTAAGGTTTTTTTCTACTTTGTATTACAAACAGAAGACAAAGACTTTTAAAATTCTTCCTGGTGCCCAATCTCCAGCCTGAATGTCTGTGTTGAAACCCATGACCTCTCCATGCACAGGTCCCCTCACTCTTACCCCACCTTCATGTAGGTCTTCTGTGAGGCTGGCGCCTTGCACCCTCTTCTCCTATTAGGGCAACATTTCTCTAATCGTCTCTAGATCTGTTTTTTGTTTTGTCTTGTTTTCATTTCTAATTTGGCCAGACTCAAGGTTAGCCTCTGAGCACTATCCAGATTCTACCATATCTGTACTCTTTATCAGAGCAGTGGAAACCAGTTAAGCCACATAGATTACTGGTTTAAATGCCACAAATGGAGCATGATTTGAGAGCAGAGTATACGTGAGTGAACATCTCTTATTGTTAGATGCTGTCAAGTTGCCTATAACTCACAGGGCCCCTATGAACAGTGGATTAAGACTTTGCTATATACTGCACCATCCCTGCTATGTTCAAGCTCACTAGTTCAGTCACTGTGTCAGTATATGGTTGCTGATCCACTGTTTTTTCCACGAGGTTGTCTTTTTCCAAGGACAAGAGCCTCCTGATAAATGCTAAAAGTATGTGAGAACATCCCTGGGTAGTTCAGTGCTTGATTGCTAACTCGAAATTTGGAGGTTCCTCTACTCAACGAGGTCTCAGAAATAAAGCCTGGTGGTCTGCTTACCAACATTCAGCCTTCAAGACTGTGGAGCACAGTTGTGCTCTGACACGCACAGAGTTACTGTCAACTGAGATTGATGGCAGTTGGTTTGGTCTCGGTAGAGCCAGATGCATCAGATACTGCTCAGCTCAGGTGCAGAGGTTCTTTCTCAGCTGGTTGAACTTTCAGATTAAATGAGTGAATTTGGGCATGGAGAAGAGGTCATAGAAGTATAGGAGCTACATGTGATGTTCTGGGCAGCCCACCATCACTCAGCCTGGCACCTAATCTTGGATGCTCTTTCAGTGACCCTCCTTGTCCCACTGCTACTAAGCAAACTAGCAAATTCCCTTAGAAGTTGAGTTCCAGGGATAGTGACGCCACACAGGGTGACTTCATGCAGGTATTACCGGCAAGAGGGTCAAGCACTAGTACTGGAGGCCTTCTAAAGCCACGTTGCTATTCTCTGAAGTTGTGAGTCCTCTTAGATCCAGGTGAATGTTTTGTTACAGACCAGCCCTGATTCTTTAGAGACCTACATGAATGTGGAAGATCTTTATCAATGAAAACATTTTGACCATCTGATTGAGATTGTTTTTTCCCATTTCAGAGACAGAGTTGTCTTGATAGAGAAGTAAGGTTGTCATTGAGGATATTTTAGCAGCTGAAAGGAAGAATTAATTGGGTGGACACAGGCTGATGACATCCTAAATTTTGTAAAGTAATCGTGGGACAGAATCATGAAATGTTTATTTGAGTCTTCCTTTGCACGGCAGTTGCTTACTAAAAGATACAAGAAAACGTCTTTAACTATAAAGAAGGCAGATATAAATTCTAGGCAGATTAAATGTTTTGTCAAAAGTCATAATATTATTTGGTGACTAACTCCTTTAAAAAACCGATTATTCTGAAACTTTAATTTCATGAGCTTGTACATATGTTAATAGACTAGAAGCTGACATAGCAGATTGCCAGTAGACACAGAACAATTTGAAGTCTTACCAGGGTAGGTTGTGTCTAACTAACAAAATATTATCTTTGTTTTCCAGGATTGAAAACTGAAGATTGTGTTGAGAACAAGGGTAAGCTATGCTTTAAAGTATTATCTCTGTAATGGGAATTTTCAGTGTAATTCTCACAATTGTGGGTCAGAGCCACCCTACACACTGTCAGACTTTCATTTTCTCAAGGCGAGTGGAGACCCAGGAGGCTCTGCTGGGGGGTGGCTATCTGCACCCTAAGGTCACCCGCTTTCCTCACTCCACGGTTGTTTTCTCAGACACTGCCTTAGCCTGAGCATGCAGGGAGCTTGCTGCTCTCAGCGTGGACTTTCCTTACCAGGTTTGAAAGACTCCTGAATGCCCCTATATCTTTACCCATTTCTCTTAGTTCCTGCAGAGAACTCAAACTCAGAATTCTCTGTTCTGACTCATAGTGACCCTCCATAGGGTTTCAGCTACATAAATTACAACAGGAGAGTGGCTGTCTTTCTTCTGCGGAGCAGCTCCCTGATGGATTCACACCACCTCTGAGTTAGCAGCGGTGGACTATGACACCAGAGCTCTCTTCAGAGAGCTAGACTCTGATTTTCATGTTTGACATCTTAGGAGATAACGTTTGGGAGATTAGTGAAGGGCTCAGTGAGGTTGGACGGCGTGATAGAATGGGAATGTGGATAGTCTCCTCTTCCAGGGGGTGAGAAGAGCATGTACCACAGAAACAATGAAAATAATTGATAGAAGAGATTCTGAAAGTGATTTAGGCTGGATTCTCTAGGAAAGTAAAACCAGCAATAGAGACTCAGACAAAGATATGCTTGTAGAGGCCAGCGAGTCCAAGATCTGAAATGAGAGGCATCTGGGAAGGTTCCTGAGCCAGGTTCCCTGCAGGCAGAGAGAGCCATAGGCTCCTGGCTCTAGAGGCGGTCTGCTTCTGACTTTGGAGACTGATAATCCCAAGCGAGCCAGTCTAACTGGTTCAAATCTGGAAGCTATGAGCCAGATGCTGTTGTTTTTAGACATCATAGAGTGTAGTACAGCTCATAGCAACCCTTGAAACAGCAGACCAGAACCCTGTCCTACCTTGTGCCATCCTCCTCATCTCTGACATGCTTGCTGCAGTCACTGTGTCAATCCATCTCATTGGCAGGATCAGAAAAAAAACGCTCTCCAGCTTTCTTTTAGAGAGTTCAAGCACATATTCGGTGCAAGCCATACCCCTGAGCAGACTGCCCCTCATCAGATACGGCTGGATTATATCTTCACAGAACTACCTTTAATCCTGCATCATTAATATCATCATATTTTTAAAAAAAACACAACACAAAAAACCCACCATGTTATTGAGTCAGAAGCAACTCAACTGATTGTCTAGAGGGTTTTCAGAGGCTGCAAATCACATAGGAGATTACCCATCCTTCTTCCATGGAAAGCTAGTGGATTTGAACCACTTGCCTTTGGATTGGCAGTGAAGCTCCTTACCAGATTTACCTCATTATATTAGGTCACCAGAGACTTTAGAATTTACTACAAAGGAAATAGTTAAGGGAGCTCTGGTGGCCTGGTGGTAAGAAGCGACATACCGCTCGAATCCACGAGCTGCACCTTGAGAGGATGAGCATTCTCTTGTGTGCTTACTGCCTCTGAAAACTCATTAGAGGGTGAGCTGCGTGTTGGTTACGACTCGGTGGCACATTATCAACAACAACAATGGCATTATAGACATATTGACACACAGTAGTAATATCCAGAGAATAGTTAGGAAACAACATTTTCAAATAGGCCCCAGAATTTAAATGAAACTGTCTCAGGCTAATGCATGCTCAGGGTGGGTGTTTCTCAAGATTTCCTTATTAAAAAGTTAGAAAATAGGGGTCCATTTCTAGCTGTTGTTCCTTTGCTTTTTTACTGAATTGTGTGATTAAAATAATTCACATCAGTCATTATACTACTCATGTTGTTGTTGTTTTATGCCATCAAGTTGCCTGCGACTCATAGTGACCCTTTGTACAACATCTTTGAAGCCTGCCCTGTCCTGAGCCAGTCTCACTGTCTCCAGCACACCTTCTCCCATTAGCCCAGTTTCTATAGCAATCTCATGCGGGGTCTTCCTCTCCTGCACTGTCCCGCCACCCTTCTGAGCATAAGGTCCTTTACCGAGGATTGGTCCCTCCTGGCTGCATGCCCAAAGTATGTGAGAAAGAGCTTCAAAATCCTTGCCTCCAAGGAGAAACTTGGCTTCACCCTCTCCAAGACAGACCTATTTGTTTTCTTGGTAGGTAGTTCATGGTATGTTCAGAACTCTTCTCTAGTACCACATGTCAAAGATACTGATTCGTATTCTGTCATCCTTAGTCATTGTCCAGCAGTCTGATGCAGTTGTGTAATTGTGAAAACCATGGCCTGGTTCAGGTGCACCTTAGTCTCTAAACTCACATTGTTGCTTCTCCGCACTCTGGAGAGGTCCCTGACAGCAGATTTCCCAGTGAAGTTCATCTTTTGATTGCCTGACTGCTGGTGACAAGAGTGTGTAATAACTACATTTTATATATTACTTTAATGTAAGCCAACTCAAGTCTTTTCTATAATAAGCATGTTAGAGTGACTCTGATATTCACATTAGCATAGAGCAGTGTAATGAAAATTTGTTTCTGTTTCAGCTTATTTCCAACCCATCTATGTCTACAACCCTGGTGAGTACGCTGTAATTAAAAAGGGGTTGGGGGAAGAATCCTTGTCTTTAAAAAAAAAAATAATACTTTTCACATGTTTTTGTAGTTTGCCATCAAGTTGGAACTGACCCATAATGGCGAGTTATAAACCAAATTTAAAGAGACAGTAATCTCATGGGAGGAGATTACCCATTCTTCTCCCACAAAGCAGTTAGAAGATTTGAACACCTGCCTTTGGGATTGCAGCACACATTCTTACCACTGGTTCCCCAGAGCTCCCTGGAAATAGTGAATTGGTAGACATGAAAGGGAAAGAAAAAAGAAAAGAATGCATTCCAGGGAAGATTACCTCCCTGCAAGTGAGAGTTGATTCTAGAGACCTGAGCAGTTGGAAACTTCTGAGAAATAAGGGTGGTGTGTGATCTCCCTTGTCATGGTTAGCAAGCCTTGTCGGTACAACTTTTATCTGTCATTGACACCAAACATCCAGATGAAAATAGAAAACTTAATCATTCGCATCTCTCAAATATCTTGATGTTCAGTGTAATTACTGAAATAGCTGGGTGATAAGATGCACCTCTCCCTCTTAGTCTCCATTTATACATTATGGCTCAAGTCACTTATTTTTTCATTTTACTCTCTTATTTTGTGCTTGCTTGGTTCATAGCTACAGTTGTGTTTGGTTTTTGTTTTTCTTTTTGTTTGCTTTATTAAAAAGGTAAAAAGGTATGAACTTTCCTTGAATGTAGTTTGCTTCTTAATGTTTAAGGAGATATTTTCTGTCCTGAAAGAAAGAAATAAAGCATTTCTTATCTCCTGATAATTTTCTTAGCAGCCCTTCTTCTTGGCCAGTTGTATAAGGTTCCTCTGTTCCATCTACTGAGATCGTCAACTAACTTACCAAGACAGACCGTTTTCTGGCTCCTTGAAATACCCTCAGGGCTCTAAAGTGGGAGGCCGTCTATATGTTACTGGTCTTTGTTTTGTGTTTTGGATTTTGTTTTCTTTTTTAAAGGAGGCCCTCTGTTTCTGTTGTTAATCCCAGTAGCATTTAGAGCCTGATGGACACTGTAATCCAGTAACAGCAGTTGGCTAGATGAACTGTGTGGCTTTTTATGGACATATTATCAGAAAATAGTTTTGCTGTGTCTGTAATAACTTCTCTTGTTTTTCTCCAATATTAAAACTGATTTTTTTTTCAATCCAGATGAGAAAAACCAGAAGCTTGAAGACTCTGGTAAGACATTTTCACAAACTTTGGGGGCTTACATTTGCAGGATAATTCTGTTTTAGGGATGCAGATAGATGGGACTGATACAGCAAAGTACAGGATATGCATCAGAAAGCTGGACAGTGACTTAAGGAAGACAGAAGAAGTAGTGATGCCTTTGAGTTGAGGTGCTGGATAAGAGTATATAACATACCATGAATTCCCAGAAGAACAAAAAGGTTTATCCTGGAGACAGTGAAGCGAAGTTGCCCCTTGGAGGCAAGAATTTTGAAGCTCCGTCTCACGTACATTTGGTATGTTGCCAGGAGGGACCATGGAGAAGAACTTCATGTCTGGAAGTGTGGAAGGACACCTCAGGAGAGGAAGACTCTAGATGAGAGAGATTGATACAGTATCTAGGGCAGTGGAGGTAGGTGTATTGGAATCAGTGAGACTGGCTCAGGACAGGGCAGGCTTCAGAGCTGCTGTTCATAGGGGTCTTTATGAGTCACAGGGGCTACAACAGCAACAACAAGGTAAGGAAATGTGGCAACAAAAGAGAGTCCACCTTAGCTTCCTAGTTTGAATATCAGGAATTCTCCTGGGCTTCAGGAAGAATGACTTAACCAGTAATAGAGCCGCTCTGTGTCTCTTGTCAAACGATACTTAGAAAATTCCAGCAGAACAACTAGAGGAAGTACCTAAAGAACTTGGCTGTAGAGGCTTTTTTTTTTCTTTAAGCTATTACATGGATAGTTGAATGTATACTAATTATTCTAGACAGAGGTGCCATAACAAATAGCATTGCTTTGTTCAAAATTATTTCTTTCTGAGTATATTTGTACATGTATTCCTGCCTTCAGAAGTCTGAGGAATAGATGCTGAAACGTGTATCCATTTGGTCATTGAGTGCATTCTAAAAATAGAACTCACAAGGTTTTTTTGTTTTGTTTTTCTTTTTAAAGAAACAAATGTGGTTTCCAATAGCTGGATATTGTTTCCAAATTATGATATACTAAACAACTTAAAAATCATGTTTTCAAAAATATTTAATGAAAAAACATTCATAATATAAAAATAGAATTTAAAACACTATATATTGGACACTAAGGTGCGTCTGATACAGGCCATGGTCTTCGCAATCACCTGTTATGCATCAGAGAGTTGGGCAATGATCAAGGAGGATAGAAGGAGAATTGATGCCTTTGAGCTGTGGTGCTCGAGAAGAGTATTGAGAAT